AAAACAGTAACGCAACTCGAGCAGTGAATGACACTCTCGCCAATCATGGGGTACAGTGGCATTTTAATCCTCCGTCTGCTCCCCACTTTGGAGGACTTTTTTTCTTTTTCTTTTTTTTTTTTTCTATGACCATTCGCGAACCTTTATAAGCAAAGGTATAACTCGTACTCACTTCACTTTTCAACGCGTCAATCACTCTATCTTCTTCATCTTCATTATCGTTTGAGCTGTCGCTCATGCGTCCGTCATCATTATCGCTATCGTTTTCATCTACGTCTATATTCATTACCTTAATCCTTGACAGAATGCTTTCTTCCTGTTCAGTGGATATTTTTTGCTCTGCGCGTTTAATCTCAATTTTCTTCTTGGGCAACATCACTCTACTCGATAGTGGCTCGGACTGTGGCTTCATTAGGTTCTTTTCCTCTCTTCTTCTTCTTCTTTCGTCATACTCAGCATCCACCTCATCTTTGCTTAATAGCGAAACAAAACCAGGCAGCAATTCATTCGAGTCGCTAATCATATTGTCATTATTCGGCCCTAAATCTCGTGAAGATACATATATGTTTGCCTTTACGCCACCTAATACTGAAATTTTCGCCATTTGAGATTTTGCGATCTCAAAGGCGACTCCCTTCGATCTTTTCGCCCCATAAACTTTTATCAAATCCGGAGTCATCCTTAAAATAATATCTTTGTCAAGAAACATGAGTCAATTACGCTCATGTTTCTTGATGATAAAATCAATGTCATTCCTTTTTTCAATCAGCTCTTTAACATCAAACCTTACTTCTTCAATCTTTCCGTTGACTAATTTTATCGCCGTATATCCACTGGAGCGTAATCCCACAGATTCCTCATACACATATAAGATGTCGATGATAATTCGTGACGCCATTTTACAAAAAAGAAGTTCTTTTGTACTTTTAAGCCTAAAGAATATATGAATAATATATAAAAGTATAAAATATAATCTATGAAAGACAGAGTGCGGAAGGTTCTCATAAGCAGAGAATATAAATATTTATAAGCAAAAGTTTACAGAAGAGGAACACATAAAAATATAAGTTTTATAAACATAATTAAAAAATAAATATTTAAAGAACCTCACGGAATACCACATTCTTTGTAACTCCATCGGCGTCGGTCGGTTTATATACCTTAACAGATTCAGCGTTTCTCACCCTAGAGAACGCCACATACAATTGTCCGTGGCTGAACACAGGAGAAGGCAGGTATATTTCAACGCGGTCGAAAGTCTGTCCTTGAGATTTGTTGATTGTCACTGAAAAAGCCTATCGAACAGGGAACTGCAATCGGCGCAACTTGAAAGGTAAGCCGTCATCTTCGGTAGTGGTCAGCGGAATCCTGGGAATAATGATGTCGTCGTCGTGCTCGGTAGCGTTGAGCAGCCTAGCTCTGAAATTCAAACGTCGAAGTTCAACAATTACCATTCTCGTACCATTACAAAGTCCTCTCTTGGCGTCCAGGTTTCTCAGCAGCATGACGACAGCGCCCACTTTAAGAGCCAGGTCATGAAGAGGGAGTCCCGTGGGGTGCAGTGAGTGAATAAACTCTATCGGGAAGTCTGCGGCATCCTCGGGGTCGTCGCACTCTATGGTATCCGTGCTGAAGTAATGCCTGATTTCACCCTCGAGACGATTGCGGAGAATGCCTTCGTTCATCTGACGACACCCCTCGTTGGTGGAGCACAAAATTACCTTGTTCGCGTAGTCATTGATGTTGCGCAAGTTCATAATTTGCGGAAACACGAAGTCGGCCAATGGAATTTGACATAGAAATCTGCGGGGTACTTGTATGGCGTTCTCGTCGTCGCCGTACCTGTTAACATTACCATTACCCAATAGGAGAAGCCACGCAGCAAACTCTCTGTCGCCGTCCGCTCGCATGTTCCGCGTGAGGGAAAACTGTTGCATGACGGGCCACAGCTCGTTGGATTTGATGCAAGCGCCGACGATGTCACTTCTCATTCCGTGGGAGATGACCGGAAGAATCTGCCTGAAATCACCACCTAGCAAAAAAGGCTTACCACCAAAAGGAAGATTCGATCGCATGATGTCCTTCAGCAGCCGATCGACAACAGTCAACTGGAACCCTGGGGACATGGGTGCCTCGTCCCAGACGATGAGCGCAGCGTCGCGAATCCTGTGCGCCATGCGAGACTGCAATTTGATTGTGGAAGTGGACTCGTTCGTGAGCACTCCGAAAGGCAAACCAAAGGTGGAATGCACAGTCCTCCCGCCGTCCAACAGACCGGCCGCGATTCCGGTGAACGCCACCGCCAGTACATCCATGTTTCGGCCACGCAACACAGACATGAGACAGGAGTAGAGCATCGTTTTACCAGTTCCACCGGGGCCGTTGACAAAGAAGACCTTGGCGCTCGGACGGGGGTCCAACACTGCGGCCATCACGCGATCGTACACGGCCCTCTGTTCGACGTTGAGCTGCTGGAGTAACACATCACCCCGCTCCGCTTCACCAATAGCGTCATGTACCGCGTCTGGAAGTTCTTCGATCACATCTGGAACAGGCAAACCAAAATCAGCAAGCGATTTACCGTGGGTACCGAGTAAATGATTTATGGCGTTAAGACACGCCGCCCTAGCAGCGCCTTCCGGCTGGTTTCGCAAGAAATCCGACATCAAATGTTCCTCGACACCGTTGTAAAGTCCCAGCGGATTGGTCGGCAAACAGTACACGCAGATGATTGTGAAGAGGGCCCGAACCTGACGCGGAGTGTCGTGTTGGCAGGCCTCTGCCAGACAGCGGCTCCACGCCGTATCATCTTCGAGCAACCCAAGTGCCGTCGTGGCTGCTTTGTAACTGGGATGAAGCACGCCGTCAACAGTCTTCACGTCGGCGAATGACACACAGCCCCGCCTATGTACAAGCAACAAACGAAGGTAGAAACGCTCGCGGTCTAACGGACTTACCGAATACATTTACATACATTCGACCTATGACCCGGTCGCCAGTGTTTGTTCTTCTCCTAGTCCAAGTGCATGTTGAAACATTCCAACAATAGTGATTGGGCACTTCGTGGTACAGGTATTGTCGAGCCTCTGGATCCGTTGCGTTCAGGCGGAAGTATGCGGTAAGGCTGGTGTCTCGAAATCTTGCTCGTTCGACCTGTTGTATCAGTTCACTGGACCTGAAAAAAACATTATGCCTACCTTCTAAATGTACAGCCAATCGAACAATGACATGGCTCCTGTTCTGCATACGGAAAGAGAAGAGTCTCCAGATCGCTTCCGGTGCGCTCACGTACCTCGTGTCGATGAACCTCTGAATTTCGTCGTTAGCGCAAACCCGAACTGTGGCCACGTCATGGCCTTTGTATACGTACTTGTACAGGTACATGACGCTTTTAACTGTCGAACACACTTCCACGTTGATATGCGCATTGTATTTCAGTAACAAATAAGGGTTGTACGGCACAACGGAATCGTTGAAGAGCTCTCTGTTCCTCACTAAAGCTGCACGGCCGTCGTCTCTACGTCTGTAGGCAGGATAACCTCCAGCGCTCCTGAACTGCGTTTCGCTGTTGAAAGGTTTGGGAAAATCTTTCTGACATTTCCCGTCTACCATGCAGGAGCACGCTGGGTTTAAAACTCCGCAAGGTCCATGCATCATGTTGGTTACCACAATGTCGTAGAGTTCTCTCTCGGTGTCTGGGTCGGGTATCTCGGCTCGAATCAGTTGGTCTACATCCTCGGCGACCTTCGGTTTGTACATTTCCTGCAAAATTAACAAAATGAGAGCGTGCGGCAAACCCCGCTTTTGGAATTCGACCACGTATACAAAAGTTTCGACCCTGCCGAATATGTGATGTTCGGTTATATCGCGCATAAGATCCTGCAATTTGAGGTTGAACACTCTGGACACCAATTCCGGTCTGTCAGACGATACAACTCTCGGAGGTAGATTTTCCACGATTTCAGGCCACCTAGGGTTGCA